TAACAAGCTGCTTTTAATTCTTAAGATGTTAGATCAGTGACCTCAATGTGAAATCATTATTTTTGGGTAAAATTTCATGGTTGACTAATGGAATTAGAGTAAGTTCTTGAAATTGGAGAGATAACATATTAGAAGGCCACATTTTCTTCTGTATATACAAGTAAAACTCCCTAAAGCAATAGGAAGCTTATTATGAAATAATTAGAATGATAAGCAAGACTTATCAGATAAAGGAATTCTAACCCTCCAGAATAAGTCAAGAAAGTCAATGGCTTAGAGCAGAGAGGGAGTCTGGGGCATCCTTTGTACAGTGACATGTTGAGGATAGAGGGATTTCCAACCTTTTTTCCTTTAAGTCTGAAGTTGCTCAATGTGATACAGGGGGCTTTTAGTCGCACAGGCCTGGTGAGAACTTGAAACATGGCTAGTGCCACTGAGTAACTTTGTAGTTACTTTTAAATTTTTCTAGCATTATTATTGGTGCTGGAGATTGAACCCAGGGCCTTGTGTATACTAAGCATGTGCTCTGGCATTGAATTACACCCCCAGGCATGCATATGTGTGTGTGTGTGTGTGTGTGTGTGTGTACGTATCCATATATATGTGTGCACAAATATATACATAGTATATGTACATATACAAACATATGTATGTATACACACATATATGCCTGGGGATATGGATATATATATACACACATACACACACACACACTTTTATTTGGTACTAGGGATTGAACCCAGGGGCAATTTGTTACTGAGCTATATCCCCAGCCCTTTTGAATTTCTATTTTGAGACAGGTTCTTGCTATGTTGTCCAGGTTGATCTTGAACTTGTGATCCTCCTGTGTCAGTCTCCTGAGTACTTGGTATTTCAGTAGTTGGTATTCTACTGCACCTAGCAAAGTTTACTATTTTAACCATTTTTAATTATACAGTTCAGGCCAGCCCTGGAGGTATACATCTGTAATCCCAGTGCCTGCAGCAGGAGGATTGCAAGTTCAAAGCCAGTGTCAACAATTTAGCGATTTAGCAAGGCCCTAAAGCAACTTAGACGCTATCTTTAAATAAAATATAAAAAAGGGCTGGTGAATGGCTCAGTTGCCCTGGGTTCAATCCGCAGTCAAAAAAAAAAGTGTACATATCAGGGGTGTAAACGACACACTGTCTTGAACTTTATGTTGTTGTGTAACCAATCACCAGAATGCTTTTTATCTTGTAAAACTGAAACTCCTCACATATTTAACAATGCCATATTTTCTCATCCCCCAACTTCTGGCAACCATTTTATTTTGTCCCTATGAATTTGATTATTCTAGGTACCTCATAGAAGTGGAATCATATAGTATTATTCCTTTTGTGATTGCCTTAGTTCATTTAACATCATGCATAGAATTCATGCATGGTGTATTCCTATCAAAATTTCCTTCCTTTTTAAAGTAATATTCCATTTTGTGTATATATCACTTTGGACTTCCATCTTTTGACTATTATGAATAATGCTATTATAAACATAGGTTTATGGGAGAGGAGGGGAGGAATAGGGGGGATAGGAAGGGCAGCAGAATAGAATAGACATTATGATTGATGTATGTACATTCCATGTATGTATTTTATGTCAAAATACATTCTGCTGTCATTTATGACTAAAAAAAATAAAAATAAATCGTATGGTTAAAAAAAAAAAAAACATAGTTTTGCAAATATCTGTTTGAGTCCCCTACTGGATGAATAGTCAGTACTACTATTGATAGATTATATGTAATTCTATTTTTAAATTAACTTTTTGCAGTGGTAGGGAATTGAATCCAGGATCTTACCCATGCTAGGTAAGCGCTCTACCACTGAGCTACATTCCCAAACTTTTTTTTGTACTAGGGATTGAACTCAGGGGTACTCAAACATTGCACAAAATCCCCAGTCCTATTTTGTATTTTATTTAGAGACAGGGTCTCACTGAGTTGCTTAGTGCCTCGAAATAGCCGAGGCTGCTTTGTACTCAGGATCCTCCTGTCTCAGCCTCCCAAGCCGCTGGGATTACAGGTGTGTGCCACTGCACCTGGCCCAAACTTTATTTTTTTTTTAAAATCTTTTTTTAGTTGTAGACGAACACACAATATCTTTATTTATTTATTTAATATTTTAGTTTTAGATGGACACAATATCTTTATTTATTTTTTTATTTTTATGTGGTGCTGAGGATCGAACCCAGTGTCTCACACATGCGAGGCAGGAGCTTTACCACTGAGCTACATCCCCAGCCCTAGCCCAAACTTTTAAATTTCACTTTGTGACGGTGTCTCATTAAGTTGCACAGGCTAGCCTCAAACATGCTGTCTTCTTCCCTCAGGAGAAGCTGAGAGTACAGGCATGTATTGCCACATCTGGTTTAATTTTAAATTTTTTTTTTTTTTTTTTTTTTTTGTGGTACTGAGGATCAAACCTAGGGTCTCATGCATACTAGGCATTGATGTACCACTGAACTACACACTCAACTCTACTTTTTACTTTTTGAGGATCCATCATAAGTGTTTTCCATAGTGTCTGCATCATTTTACATATTAAAATACTGAAATTAATTTCACCTGTTAATTTTATAAATGTGGCTAACGAGAAATTTAAAATTATATATATGAAGCTCATATCTTTCTGTTGAACAGCAGTGTTAGATATCCTCTACCCCCCCACAATGTAGAAAACTACCAAATTCCAGAAGACAAAAACTCCTCTCCCAAATCATACTTGCTACATGTTAAATAAACTCTCTACTTTTCTGATTGAACACAGGGATGCTTAACCACTGAGCTACATCCTCAGCCCCCACAATTTAAAAAAAAATTTTTTTGTAGTTGTAGATGGACAGCATGTGTTTGTTTTTGTATGAGGTGTTAAGGATTGAACCAAGTGCCTTACACTTGGTAGGCAAGCACTCTGCCATTGAGCCACAACCCCAGTTCCCCCAGCCCTTTTTATTTTTTGATTTTGAGACAGGGTCTTGCTGAGTTGCTTAGGTCCTCGTTAAATTGATGAGGCCATCTTTGAACTCGCAGTCCTCTTGCCTCAGCTTCCCAAGCTGTTGGGATTAAGGCATGCACCACTGAGCCTGGATTCCCAGTCCTTTTTATTTATTTTGAGACAGGTCTTGCTAAGTTGCCGAAACTGGCCTTGAACTGTGAACCCTGCCTCAGTCCTGTGATTATAGTTATATGCCACCACGTATGGCATATCCATCTTTTATTATAGGAAGAAACTTCTGTCCACTGTTACTGCAAAAGGCTGGACTATCCCATAGTGACTGATGTTAATACTTGTGTATCTTATTTTCTATGTTTTGTTGGTATGTCATGCCGCAGTCTGTCTGGGCACAAAATAACCGAGCCACCACAAAAGCCTTGTAGATTCAAACAGCAACTGTTTATTCCGGAACTCTCACCGGTACTCTACACACACTACCTGGGAAAATACTCCCTCCACCGAGCTCTGCGTACCAATTCTCTCAGAACCCCGCAAGAACTCCAAAGGAGTGGGCACCTGAGGCAGCAGGATACAGCGGATACGCGGTAATCCTGAAGCCGCCCTATTCCCAGCAGGATCCACCCTAAACCCGGAGCCACCCTAATCCCTGAGCAGGGTCACCTTTCAAACCAAAATGCCATGCTTCATTCCTACTTGGCTATGGCTCTCAGCAATGTCAGAGCCCAATGCCTTCCCTTGCTGTGTTAATTCTCATGTTCCTGAAGAGATGTACTTACAAGGTTGAAAGAGACATCTTTCTACCTAGGTACAGTGGTACAAGCCTGTAATCCTAGCAATTCAGGAGGCTGAGGAGGAGGATCACAAGTTCAAGGTCAGCCTGGGCAATGTAGTGAATCCCTGTCTCAAAATAAATAAATAAAAAATAATCCCCACAACAAAAAAGAAAAAAAAAAGTGACCTTCCTTCCTCTTTGATAATGCTGCCTTGCCACAACTTCTCCTACCCATTGGCATTTTTAATCCACTTACAGCTTGAGTGATTTCTACACTTTGAGTAACTGATAGCTGCATGTGTATTTGAGTGGGTATGGGGAGACTCAGGAGGGATTTCTGAAATGTCAGAGAAGAGTCAGAACCTGGAGATTGGGACTGGAGAGCTGTTGTGACTGACTCTATTTCTGTGATTTACACCAGGGTCATTCATGATGAAATCACCACCACCACCACCCTAGTGAAAAGTAAAAATAAGGCTCCTCCTTGGAGACTAACTTTTGCAAAAGAGTTTTTTTCTTTTTCATTATTATTATTATTTATTTTTAATTTTTTTTTAATGTTTATTTTTTAGTTTTCAGCAGACACAATATCTTTGTTTGTATGTGGTGCTGAGGATCGAACCCGGGCCGCGCGCATGCCAGGCAAGCGCGCTACCGCTTGAGCCACATCCCCAGCCCAATTTTATTATTATTTTTAACAGTGTTGCACTTGACTACATTTAGATGGAAAGGATGTTGGCGTAGGTGTGTTGCTGGAGATCATACTGTGACCTTACACATGCTAGGTAGGCAACACCACCACTTAGCTACACCCCATCCCCTCAAATATGATAAATCATGGTCTCTGATACAGTGTGCATTCACTTAACTCCTCAGGGAGGGCTGGGGAACTGTCTGCCTTGTTTAGAGCAAACACGCCATGTCTGAAGGTAGCCGAGACTTTAAACACATACAAATGGACGCTTCTCTCCAGGAGCAAAGGTACATCTACTGCCCCTGCATTTGTCCCTGAGAACCAGGCCAGAAGCCAGTCTTGCCTCCCATGGGAACCAGGTGTCACTTTTAGTAACCTGAGGGTACACAGCGAAGACCCAACTGTCTGTCTTCCCAAGACCTATGTTTCTCACTCCTCAACTCAAGTCATGCCCGTCCCGTCTCCGGACTTCTCCGTTTCCTTTCTTCCTTCCTAGGAAAGGGCGTTCATTTCCTTCTCTCATGAGGGTTTCAAATCAGGAGTCCTTCGGATGGACTCCCGTTCACTTCCACAGCGGTGCTCAGCCCGTAGTTAAGGTCTCAGGGGCGCTCTGCAGAGCCGGGTTCTCCTACCCGCCTTCCTTCTACAGACAAGCTCGCGCCTGCGCAGCCACTACCTTCTCTCGGGCTCGCCCGCTTCAAATGCGCTCTAGCCACGTAACAATGGCGCCACCGCAGCCCCACCTCCGGGCGTTGGCCGCTGAGGCCCCGCCTCGCCCGCTGTCCTTATGGCCTGAAGGCTGGACTTGGCCGCCTCCCTGATAAAGGGGGAGATCATGAGGGGCCAGCTCGCGGTCACGCCTGCAGTCGACAGTTGGATGGGGACGTGGGTCCACCGGCTTCTCTTCCAGGTATGCGGGATGTGGCACTCCGGCAACGCCGGAAGTGGTAAGGTTTCTAGAAGCTTCCCATCTGGTTCCGCCCCTCAGAAGCCCCGCCTCGCGCGCTGCTGGGGGTTTCCACGGTGATGGTAAACAAGCCTCGACTTCTTAGTCTCTGTCTGACAAGTCCTTGGAGTTCCGCATTCTAGGTGCTCCAAGGAATCACCCAGGGACCTGGTTTGAGAGCCGACACGTGGAGACTTAGTGCCCCAGGTGAAGGACATCCAGCGGGAGGTCCGAAGTCCAGGGCCGCACACCTGTGTTCTCCTGGGATGGGACCCAGTTGGAGTGGGACTGCCTGCTGGGATTTGAGGTTAGGGCTGGTCATGGCAGTAGGATTCCAGAGGATCTTTGGCTTAGTTAGAGCGCCTTCCCCTTAATCCTGCACAGACCAGAAAGGACCGGTTCTGAAGAATCTTTTCTCAGAGCCAGGATGTTGCATTCAGGGACTGACTGGTGGGCCTGAAGGGATTTGGAGGCACTAGAGAGCTGCTCTCATGTTAGGGTGCCCCTCACGGGTATTGAGTTGTGATGATAAAGGTTTTTTTTATTTCATCTTATTTTTTAGATAGTGGCGATTGAACTAGGTCACTTAGCCACTGAGCCACATCCCCAGACCTTTTTTTGTATTTTATTAGAGACGGAGACTTGCATAGAGCCTCGCTAAATTGTTGAGTGGCTTTGAACTTGCGATCCTATTGCCGCAGCCTCTGGAGCCACTGGGATTAGCCACCGTGCCTGGCGTTTTAAGAAAATTTTTGAGGCAATACATTCATATATTTAAAGGTCAGAACTTGCACAAGACTATTTCTCAAAACTTCTTCCCACTTCTTGCTCCATTAGTAAATAGTTTTTCTCCAAAAACTTTATTTCTATTTTATCATTATCTTTCCCCTGTACTTTTCCTTCATCAGCTTTACTAAATTAGTATACAGTATTTTGGTCTGAAATGTTTCCTCGTGGATTTCCTTTGCCTTCTGGTCTGGAAGCTGGGTGTGTATAGTGCAGTCATCTATTTGCCACCTCCCCTTCCACCCCGAATTATTTTTTTTCCCTAGTCATATCTTTAAATGCATTTTGCACTGATTTCTTTTGAAAATTCATTTGGAAAGAACTCGAATTGAGCAGTTTGTGGGTAAGTCCAGGGCTTTGTCTTAGGCATCATATATTTTCTTTATGATTCAGACTTTTTTCTCATCCTTAAACTAAGAAATATGCTCTTGTGGACTGTTGGTAGAAATATAAAATGGTACAGCTACTATGGAAAACTGTATGGCTCTTGCTCAAAAAATAAAAATGTAATTACCATATGATCTAGTAATTCCACTTTTGGGCATATATTCAAGAAAAATGAAAGCATGGATTCAGATTTTTTTTTTTTTTGTGGGGAGAGGTGCTGGGCATTGAACCCAGGGCCTGTGCATTCAAGGCAAGCACTCTACCAACTGAGCTATATCCCCAGCCCCAAGGATTCAGATTTGTACCAACCCACATTCATAGCAGCATTATTCAAATAGCCAAAAACTGGAAGTAGGATTGGGAGTGTAGCTGAGTGGGAATAACTTGCCTAGCATGCAAGATGCCCTGGGTTTGGTTCCCAGCCTGGCAAAAATAAATGGGAGGAAAAAAGTGGAAGTAACCCAAGTGCCCATTTATAAATGAATGGATAAACAAAATGTGGCATATAATAGAGACCTTGAAAAGAAAGGCAGTTCTATTACCTGCTACAACATGGATGAATTTTGGGGACATTGAAAGAAACCAGTAATGAATTTTGTGGGTTTTTTTTTTTTGGTGGTGCTGGGGAGGGATGGAACCCAAAGCCTCAGGCATGCTAGGCAAGCAGTCTGCTGCTGAGCAACATTCTGAGCCCTCTTGCTGGAATTTTGATAGGAAATATTTTAAACCTGTGTCATTTTGGAGAGAATTGCCAATCTTTACAATGTTGAGTTTTTCACATACTATTACATAGTATACTCTTCATTTGCTTAAGATTTTTTTGAGTTTTTTCATAGGCATTTTCAATTATATTTGAAAATATACTTGATTTTTGTGTTGTTTATATATTCTATGTACTAGGTAAAAATATTAGTTCTAGGAAGGCTTATTTTTCATATTTCTTGGGATTTGTTTTTATGTAGAACATATGCCATCTCTAAATAGGACACATTTTACTTTTGTTCCATTCTGCCTTTATTTCCTTTTCTTGACTTTTTAAAAATGATTTTATTTATTTTCTAAATGATTTTATCTATCTATCTATTTATTTATTTATTTATTTTTTAAACAGTACTCAGGATTGAACTTAAGGGAGTTTTCCACTGCGTTACATCCTCAGCCCATTTTTTCTTTCTTTTTTTTTTCCTGGACTGAAAATTGAACTTTGGGTAGCTTTTCCACTGAACTACACCCCCCAGTTTTTATTTTTTGTATTGAGACATGGTCTCTTTTAAGTTGCTTAGGGCCTCACTAAATTGTTGAGACTGGCCTTGAATTTGTGATCCTCATGCCACAGCCTCCTCACCAGTTTGTGCCTGGCTTTTGCCTATTTTACATACCATGTTGAATAAGAGTGATGAGCCAGCTATGGTGACCCATCTTTGTAATTCCATTGACTCAGGAGGATTGCAAGGGCTGGGGATATAGCAATAAATAAATTTTAAAAAATGAGTGGTGACTGTAATCCCAGAAGCCTGGGAGGCTGAGGCAGGAGATCACAACTTCAAAGCAACTTAGCAAGACCCTGTCTCTTAATAAAATATAAAAAGGGCTGGGGGTATGGATCAGTGGTTAAGTGTTCCTGTGTTCAACCCCTGGTCCCCCAGTACAAAAAAAAAAAAAAAAGGTGATATCTTTTGACATCTTTTCCTTGTTCCCAACCTTGGGAAAAATCTGCAATTTTTACAATTAAGTGTGATGCTAGCTGTAGTTTTTATAGATACTCTTTGTCAAGTTGAAGTGATTTCCCTTATTTCTAACTTGCTGAGAGTTTTTATCATAAATGGATGGTGTTGGATTTTGTCATGCCTTTTCTACATCAACTCAAACATTATGCTTCTTTGTCAAATTGAGATACTTTCAGCTATTTTTTTTAATGCTTTTCACCTCAAACTGTTTTTCCTTTCTTTTGGTACTCTGATAACATAATTGTTAGATCTTTTGTGATAGTCCTGCAGGTTTCTGAGTTTCAGTTCATTTTTTTCTCTCTGTTCAGACTGAGTAGTTTCTATTCTGTGTTCATGTTCACTATGGGCTGGGTATTGTAGTTCAGTGGTTGAACACTTAGCTAGTGTGCATCAGGCCCTGGGTTGAATTCCCATTATCCCTCCCCACTGCCCAAAAAAATTCATGTTCACTGATTTTCCCACCCATTTGATGCCATTCTGCTTTTGAGCCCATCCAGTGAGTAATTTTTATTTTGGTAATTATATTTTTCCTTCTAGCATTTCTTCTTGGATCATTCAGTTGTTATCTGTTTCTTTGCTGAGTCATTCTGGTTTTTTTTTTTTTTTTTTTTTTCCCAGTCTTTTCAAGCACGAGTTTTGATTGCTCAATGAAGCATTTTTGGATGGATGCTTAAAAATCCTTGTGAGATATGCCAAAATCTTGATGTTGATTTTATATTTCGTTCAAGTGGAAATTTTTCCTCTTTCTTGGTAATGATGCTTAAAAAAAAAAAAAAGATCCTGGACAGTTTGAGCATTATGAGACTTTGGCTTTTATTTATATCTCCTGTTTTTAGTAGGTTTTCTCTGATACAGCATGCATGGGGAGGGGAGCTGACACCTCATTACTGTCCATTAGGTTTTTCCTCTTTTTGGCAATCTGAGATGGGAGTAAGAGGCATGCCTTGTTATTAGTGAGAAGGGAAGCTCCCACTTCAGGCTTTCACTAGACCTTCAAGAATAGCACCTTGACTGAGAGGGTGAGGTTTGACTTGTTTTGCAGGCCTAGTGAGGGTGGAAGTCTGGGTTCACCTTAAACCTTTTGCTGACATGAATATACTAGTAGCATCATGTCTGGTCCCCCCGCCCACCCTATGGAGTTTGGCTGAAGCAGGTTTTTTATTTCTAAGAGTTTTCTATCTTGTAAGGCTGCTTTCTCCTGGTCCTTTGGCTAGAAAGAGAATGGGTTCTTTTAGGCTTCTAAAATCTATAATCTGGGCTGGCAGTATAGCTCAGCAGTGCCATGCTTGCCTGGCATGTTCAAGGCCTTGGGTTCCATCCGTAGCACCACAAAAAAAATAAACATAAATTTGCTGCCATTAATATTTTCAGATTGCTGACTTATCTAATGTCTGGCCCAGAACATATGAGGCAAAAAGAAAACTTGGGAACCCAGCACAATGCCATTATTTGGTCCCAAGATTCTTTGTTTGTCTGCATTTTCTTTCAGCATTTCAGTTGGTAGGGTTTTTTTTTCTTTTTCTTGTTGTTGTTTGTTTGATTTGTGTGTGCAGGGTGCTGATGATCAAACCCAGTGCCTCGTTTGCTAAACACATAAAACACATGCTCTGCAGGGCACGGTGGTATGTTCCTTTAATCTCAGCAATTCTGTAGGCTAAGGCAGGAGGTTTGCAAGTTCAAGACCAGTCTGAGTAACTTAGCTGGACCCTGTGGACCCTGTCTCAAGTGAAAAATAGAAAGTGTTGAGGGTATGGCTCAGTGATTAAGCACCCTTGGGTACAATCCCTAGTACCAAAACAAACAAAGGAAAAAAAAAACGAAACAAAACAACTACACATTCTCTACCACTGAGCTATCTGTGTTATGTTTATTTGCTGTAATGTTGAGAGTATTTAGCTGCTCTGGGTGGGAGGAGTATAAAGTAGTATCTGCTGTGTCTTCTGAATGGGATGTCTTACTTTCAGTTTTTAAACTTCAGCCCGGAGGAATGGAGTTGGCTATCTATGGACTGATACCTCTGGAACTGTGAGCCACCCAAATAAACTTTTCCTCCTTAAAATTGTTCTTGTCACTTTTTTGGGGTGCAGCAACACCAAAAAAAGCTAACTAAAACATCCATTATCTTTTTACATGCATTGTTTCCAACAAATTTATCATCCATAGCTTTGTTTTTTGTACCAGAGATTGACTCAGGGGCACTCAACCTCTGAGCCACATCCCCAGCCCTATTTTATATTTTATTTAGAGACAGGGTCTCACTGAGTTGCTTATTAGCACTTCACCGTTGATGAGACTGGCTTTGAACTCACGATCCTTCTGTCTCAGCCTCTTGAGTAGCTGGGATTACTGGCATGCACTGATGCACCCGGCCATCTATATCTATGTTTTACGTAACTTTTTTTTTTTTGGTTCTGGGGATTGAACTTGCGGCCTCCCTGCTAAGTATTTGTTCTGCTGCTGAGCTACATCTCCAGCTGCATTTAAGTTTTTATTTATTTTTTAGTTGTTGTTGTCAGTACCTTTATTTTATTTATTTATTTTTATGTGGTGCTGAGGATCGAATCCAGGGCCTGGCACCTGCTAGGCAAGTGCTTTACCACTGAGCCACAACCACAGCCCCTTAAGTTTTTTTTTTAATCACTTGTTTTGAGCAATTTAATTATGATATTTCTTGGTTCGTTACTTAATTTTTCTTTTGTTTAGGTTTCATTTGAGCTTTGGTTTTTGTGTTTGTTTTAGTGTGGAAAGTTATAGGCCCTCATTTCTTCGAATACATATTTTTTGCTGCTCCCTCCTAAATAGCTCCCTCCAGTCATTTATATTTTAGGCTGTTTGAAGTCATCACAAAGCTCACTAATGTTCTCAGTATTCTGGATTTTTTTTTTTTGGAAAAATGAACTTGACTGCTTTCAAGTTAGTGATCTTTTCTTCCGGAATGTCTAATCTGCTTTTCATCACATCCAATCTTTTTGTTTGTTTTTGGTACCAGGGATTGAACCCAGGGGCACTTAACTATTGAACCATATCCCCAGCCCTTTTTTCGAATTTTATTTAGAAACAGGGTCTCATTAAGTTGCTGATTCTGGCTTTAAACTCTTGCCTCAGCTTCTCGAGCTGCTGGGATTGTAGGTGTGTGAAAGCTCACCTGGCTCCATTCAATGTATTTTTCTTTAAAACAAAATGATTTTTTACTTGTAGTTGGACATAATTCCTATTTATTTATTTATATGTGATGTGGAGGATCGAACCCAGGGCCTGGCACGTGCTAGATGAGTACCACTGAGCCACAACCCCAGCCCCTCAATATATTTTTCATCTCAGCCATTATCATTATTTCCAGAATTTTGATTGGGCCTTTTTAAATTTTTTGTGCCTACATTTAACTTTTCTGTGTACTTTTTAAGTATTTTTATGGTACTGGGGATTGAATCCAGGAGTGTTTAACTACTCAACCACATCTCCAGCCTTTTTTATGTCTTATTTTGAGACGGGGGTTGGCTAAATTGCTGAGGCTAGTCTTGAATTTGTAATCCTCCTGCCTCAGTCTACCAAGTTGCTGGGGTTAAAGGCCTGTGCAAATGTGCCCAGTTTCTTTTGTGTACTCCTAATAACATCATTGTCAGTGCTGGGTGGTTTTGCTAATTATCCTTATTATAGGTCATGTTTTCTTGCCTGTTTGCTTACATGATGATCTTTCACTGAAAGTTATGCATTGTGAATTTTACTTCTTGGATGCTGGATATTTTTGTATTCTTATAAATTATTATAAATCTTCCTGAACTTTTTTTTTTGGTGGTGCTGGGGATTGAACCCATGGCCTTGTGCATGCAAGGCAAGCACTGTACCAACTGAGCTACATCTCCAGCCCTTCTGGAGCTTTTAGTTGTTTGAAAATACTATGATTATTTATGTTCTTCATCTTCTGTTTAGGGGTTGTTTGTTCTGTTTAGGTGGAGAACATTGCTTCATTTAAGTACTAATTATTCCCCACTACTTAGGTAAGGCCTTCCTGAGTATTCTACCCAATGGCCCATGACTTATTTTATTTTTCCACTTGGCCTGATAGATTCTTCAGTCTTATGCTCTCCTTACTTTGGCTGCCTTGGCCTGTATGATCACTGTCACTGTTCTTCTGACCTTTTGGATGGTTCTTTTACCATACATAGTTAATTTCCTTAACTCATGTACTAATTAATAAATACTCTGCTGGGAGCTGGTAGATGCCAGGCCTTGGATTCAAGAATGTTCAAGGAGGACACTGCAGATATCTAGGGTCTTCTTTCTCTGCTGCTCTCTCTCTCTCTGGTTCTGTGAATATAGCTGCCTTGGTCTTCCCAGACTCTCAAATAAATCTGTTTCTTCAATTCAGGGAATTCTTCAGGCTGTGCCTCAGTGTGGTTTAAAACTTCTCAAGTCAGTAAGCAGGGGCAGTTATAGGGCTCATCTCATTTCTTTCCTATCTCAAAAGGATTACTCTCTTTTGTTGTCTGGTGTTTGGGGTCTTGGAAACCATTCTTTTCTTGCATTTTATCAATTCATTTTTTTTAAAATTATTTCAGGTGGTAAGATTAATCTGGTTCCTGATCCTCAATCCATTTTGCTCAGAAGCGGAAAATTGAAGAAATGAGGTGTACATTTCATCTTTGGTTGCACTCTAAATGGAAGAGTATATGAAATGGCCCTGGTGAGAAAAAAAAACAAAACAAAAAACTGAGAAAACATGGGACACAGGTATACTGACATTCAAGTCACAGAGAACTGAAGTAAATTGGATGTTAACGTATATCGATGCATGTAGCATTAGTCCATACAGCCCCTGTCTTAAAGCTACTTTTATAGGAAAACTCCACTTATTTCAGTCAAACTACTTAACAATAAAGAACTGATACTAGTAGAACTGTGAGCTTGTGAAGTCTATAATTTTAAAAAATTATTTTCTGGTATTATGTATGCCTCAAAATATTCCATTTATACTACAGTAGTGTACCTCAGCAACTACATATGTATATTGAAGCAGTATTGTTATGTGAAATATACATTATTACATTGAACACATTTGAAAAGTGTGCTATTTTTGAAAAATTTCAATTAAAGATTTGATCCATAACTTTTAAAAATTGGCTTTTTTCATTTATAATTATTTAAGATTTTATTTATTATTTATTTTTTTGCCATTCTGGGAATCAAATCTAAGCCTTATGCACTTTAGGCAAGGACTGTGCCATTGAGATATGCTCCCAGTCTCTTGGATCCTTATTGAGAGCCAGCCATGTAGTCATAGAATGCTGGTGTGACTGACAGTAGTCAGTGAACTTCCAGGCATCTGGAAGGCATGCAGGTGTTCATCATAATGTACACTGTACAATGTAGGCACAGTGAGCTATCTTTATCATTTAGGCAAAGTATGAGCCTCTGTTTACCAATTAAGTTCCCAAAGACCAGCCAGGGGCCATCCTTGTAAGCAGGCCTTTCTAAGAGCAGTCTTAAGCTTTCTATTTTAAACTCTTTTAGGTTCACAATATAAATGGCATAAACACACCAATTAATGACAGAAATTGTCAAAATGGATTAAAAAAAACCAAAAGACCCACGACCCAACTTTGTTGTGTACTTAAGGGTATATAATTTATAGATGTCCTTGCAGTTCATTTAGGAAGGATTTCTGTGACAAAAGGCATGGTCAAGAAAGGGGGTAGGAAGCAAGAAAGTCATTATATGTATGACTATAGAGAGAGTTTAAAGATGAGGGGATGGGGATGAGGATATAGCTCAGTTGGTAGAGTGCTTGCCTCATATGCACAAGGCCCTGGGTTCAATCCCCAGCACTGAAAAGAAAAAAAAAAAGATGAGAGAATGGAAAAAGAAATAACATGTAAACAATAAACAGAAGAAATGTGATATGGCTCTATTAATATTAAGCAGAGTAGACATTAGAACAATGAAAATTACCAGGAATAAAGAAGGACAGTATATAATGAAAAAAACACAAAAGGATTGAGTAGTCAGCCACAACCATTTTGAAGAAGACGAATAGTTGGAGGAATCACCAGTTTTAAGAAATGAAGTTAGAGTAATCAAGGTAGCATAATATTGGTGAGGAGATAGACCAGTGGGGCAGAATGGAGTTCAGAAATTGACACTTTTTTTTTTTTTTTTTTTTGTGGTGTGTCGTGCTGGGAATGGAATTTAAGACCCCATGCTTGCCAAGCAGGTGCTGTACCACTGAGCTACATACCCAGACATTTTTATTTTATTTTAAGTCCATATCTCCCTAAGTTGCTGAGACTGGCCTTGAACTTGTGATCTTCTTGCTTTAGACTTGCAAGTAGCTGGGGTTACAGGATTGTGCCACCATGCTGGCTGGTCAGTGTATTTATTTATTTATTTCTGTGCCGGGGATTGAATTCACAGTGCAGTCTCACTGAACTGCATCCTAAACTTTTTTTTTTTTTTTTAAATATTTTTTTAGTTGTAATTGGACAAAATACCTTTATTTTATTTATTTATTTTTACATGGTGCTGAGGATTGAACCCAGCACCTCCAATGAGCTAGGCGAGCACTCAACCACTGAGCCATAACCCCAGCCCCATCCTAAACTCTTTTTATTTTTAATTTTTTTTTTAATATTTATTTTTTAGTTGTAGTTGAACCCGATACTTTTATTTATTTATTTTTATGTGGTGCTGAGGATTGAACCTAGGGCCTCACATATACTAGGTGAGCCCTCTACCGCTGAGCCACAACCCCAGCCCCTTATTTTCTATTTTGATAAAGGGTCTCACCGGGTTTCCTAGACTGACCTTGAGCTTGCATCCTCCTGCCTCAATTTCCTGAGTTGTTGAGAATGCAAATGTGGGTGCCAGTTGATTTTTGACAAAGAAGGTAGTAATTCAACTGAAAAGAAGAGTCTTCTAACAAATGATATTGTAACTGGATATTCATATGCAAATACAATGAACTTTAGTTGAAACCTCATATTTGTACATTAACTCAGCATGGGTCACATATTGGAGTCTGTAAACAAGTCAAAATAACACCTGGAATTTTGCCAGGGGAACGTTAGAGTTCGTAAACAAGTCGGGATGGTGCCTGGCAAAATTCCAGCATCACATATCCAAAATATATTTTAAAAAATCATAAAATGTTTAGTTAAACCCTTTAGGATTATGTTGAAGTGATAGTAATTGAAATATTGCCGCAGTCCGGCTGCAGCAAAATAACCGGGGGGTGACGAACGACTTGTGTTGATTGATACAGCAGGAGTAGGAGCCGTTTATTGCAGGACAGGAACAGTATTTATACATTCCACACAGCTTATCTAATTAGCATAAACTAGATACATCAGTCAACCAATAAGGAATCTCCACACTTAATGGCTTGTTTTTGTTACTTCTCAAACCACTCCCTCTGGCATTTTGCCAGGCACCATCCAGACTTGTTTACGAACTCTAACATTCCCCTGGCAAAATGCCAGGTGTTATTTTGACTTGTTTACAGACTCTTAACATTTCCCCCTTTTGTTTAATTTAAATAACAACCATAGTGGTTTTTACAAAAACACCATAAATAACCTGCTACAAACAGAAAGGGAGGATACAAAATGCCACAATACCAAGCCACTTGATGGCTCCATGCAAGAAGCCCTTGGAAAAATTATACCAGCAATGACACTGTTAGCAAAGATACCGAGTTACAATTTGTTGTAGATTATAGTTTGTTGTCTCAGTCCAGGTAAAGCAGTGTCTCAATAGATTAACTCACAGTCCAGGTAAATCACAGTCCGGTAAGTTCTCCAGGCAGCTAGCTTAAATCACAGTCCAGGTAAGTTCTTCAGGCAGCTAGCTTGATCCGAAGTCTCATCCGGTTCTCAGCAACACTGGAAATTCTTCCACCTTCGTCTTCACTGGCACAGAGGCAGGAACTCCGGATGGCTAAAGAAAATCCTGTAGTATTCCAGCAGGCACTAAGAAAACAACCTTCTGAACAATTTAGTATATTATCTCAAGGTTTTTTACATTTGAAATAAGCATTAATAGTGCTCATTACTCATCAGCTTCCAGGTGTGGGAGAACCATTGTAGCTTAGTTATTGGCATTGAAAATGACCAAACATCAGGGACGCTAGTAGCGTCTTCTGCTGGCTGTAGCATCCGGGTAGCCCCAGATCGCCCTGGGGAGGGTCCCGGACTCAAACTGCTACTGGGCACAGGGAGCAAGAGCCTGTGAGACTGTGCCTCCAGGTCAGGTCTAGATTTGGGCTCGCAGCAGTGGAAGAGCCAGCTCCCCGGCCAGGAAGCCGGGAAGAGCCAGTTGCCGCCGCCTCTTGGAAAATCCTTGCTGCGCTGTGACTGGCTTGCACACTCGGCAGCCGCCTCTCCGCTTCACGCACCCTCCGGTAACGAAAAGTATTTAGTAATAGCCTTTTGCTGCAACTTTTTTCCTGATAATCCTTCTTCTTCTGAACTTTCTTTTTCTTTCTGACTAGAGTTCCTGGGCTTTTATCAACATATGCCCTAACTATTCTTGGTTCCACTGGGGTGCCTTCTTCCCTTAGTAATTTACTTCTCACCCCTTCCATATTTTCATCACAAAGACAATACAATACACTGAGACAAAACAAGACACAAACATACTGTATCAATCTTCTCCATTTTCTTGAAATGACCATTTTTCCTCTCGCCCTATCTGCCTAGGGACGAGCAGATTTGCTCCCGTCCTATCTATGGACGGGCAGCTTTTTTTCGTCACTTACCCCCGAGTGTCCCAGGGCTCCCCGTAACGGGCCACCATCTGTAGAAGGCCGGCTGGCTGCAGCAAAATAACCGGGGGGTGACGAATAACTTGTGTACGTTGATACAGCAGGAGTAGGAGCCGTTTATTGCAGGACAGGAGCAGTATTTATACATTCCACACAGCTTATCTAATTAGCATAAACTAGATACATCAGTCAACCAATAAGGAATCTCCACACTTAATGGCTTGTTTTTGTTACTTCTCAAACCACTCCCTCTGGCATTTTGCCAGGCACCATCCAGACTTGTTTACGAACTCTAACATTCCCCTGGCAAAATGCCAGGTGTTATTTTGACTTGTTTACAGACTCTTAACAAAATATATCCTAAAAGTACCTCCCTTATGGTGTATGCAATATTAGTACTATCCTCACTACTATTTTACAATTGAGGAAACAAGCAAATAGAAGACTAGAAACTTAAGGTTACACAATTTATAGATGTGCCTTGCAGTTCATTTAGGAAGGATATCTGACAAAAGGCATGGTCAAGAAAGGGGTAGGAAGCAAATGTTTCAGAAGACTTCTCAAGAGAGTGTTGGGCTATTGGAAACTTGTTGTTTTTGCTGATTGTTTTAGTAAATTACACAATTGCTCATCTGTGAGGTATATTCTATTCTATCCCATGGTATCATTGCCTAGAAGGAAACACTAGTATCCTGGACAGGGAAGCTAAAAAAGGCTGCCCTCACAGGGGCCTTGTGTTACCTATCCTGGGATTGGACTCCGCTTGGTTGCCCACAGCTCAGATGTCCCATTCTGCCCTTACCTGCCCCTCGGTGAGGTGTCAAATAGTGAGTTGTCCATAGGATATTACACTTAACAAGTTCTATTTTATATTTCTACAACCATTCTATTTTATATTTTATGGTACTGGGGATTGTTCCTCCAGGGTCTAGTGCATGGGAAGCCAGTGCTATATCTCTGAGCTGCATTGCCAGCCCTCTGTTCAACCATTTCTTATTTGTTCTTAGAAAAGTTGTTTATTTTCAGTAAAATTACACCTTGAGCTGGGCACAGTGGTGCATACCTGTAGTCCCAGCAACTTAGGAGGCTGAGATAGGAGGGTTGCAAGTTTGAGGCCAACCTCAGCAATTTAATGAGGCCCT